ACGGGGCTCAGGCCGCTTCGTCCTTACCTCCGCCGTTCGGGTCGGGGGAGGGGGCGACGGGAATTCGAATTGACGCCTTGATGAACCGTCATAACACGCTGGACGCGTTCTTTCCTATACCTCGCCGACACCCCGCCCAGGTCAGGGGTTCCCCCGTTTTTGGCGTCTACCATGCGTTTATTGAGTGGGAGGAGGCCCTTCTCTCTGAGGATCAAGAGGGGTCTAAGGCTGCGGAGCCGTCGGGTTTCTCCGACGGTGGGGATTGGCCTCATTCCACGTGCGTGGCCCGCCTTCTGGACAAGGTACACTCCCCACCTTGCGTGGCGGCGGTTCCCTTGGAAGTCATTCTGAAACCTATTCCATTGAATCCACTCCTATCGGTCTACACCGATTTGCACCCATTAGCATCATCCCTTGCGGCGGACTCTCTGGAGGAAAAGGAAAGTAACGGGGAGAAGGGCAAGAAAGACGGCCCCATGGGTGCGAGTTTGGATCCCATGCAGCTCAATTCTGAGAATTTGTGGAAGCTGCTAAGTTTTAGTCCGAAATCAGGGCTAACGGACGCCAAGCTGATTTCCCGTCACCGGGATGCGCGGCGAAAGCTTTGGGAAGAGGAGACCTCCGCGAGGAATGATCTGCTATACCAAGAAACCTCGGCGTATCGTCTTATTAGCGAGTTAGCCAGTGACTCGATGTGGTGTATTTTATCTTTGCACTCCCTCCAGGGCGAGTTCATTCAGGACAAGGGGCTGACGGGCTTGAAGAGCCGTCGCCGCCATTATCCGTTGGATTCGCTCCCCCTTGCCAACCGAACCACCCCCGCGGATACCCAGCGACTTCACATTGTAGCAAACCGAACAGTTACACTTGGATTTTTGTTCGCGAATAAAAGTATTAGTGAACAGAATCCGAAGATCAGTTTTGAGGTGAAAAATAATAAAAAAGTAAGGCTTGATGATGTTCGCAAGTTTCATTCTAAGAATCAATCTGAGGCCATCCGACGCAAAGGGGAGGCTGACGTTGGAACGCAATCTAGGGGATTTCGGTTGTTTGGGGCGCCCACACCGCCTAATACGTGTTCGCTTCCAGAGGAGTTACCCCTTGCGCGATCTCACGATCCTGATTGTGTAGAGAACCTTCCTGATGAGGTTTACGAAGAATTCTTGGAGAGGTATACCGAAGGCCGCCATGAAATCATATCCTTAGAGCGCAAGGCGTACCGTGATTTAATGCGTCTGATTTTTGAAGTGCAATCAAAACAGAGGCGATTGGATGAGCTGGCGTTGAAGCGTGCCTATGCGGAGGAGATTAAAGCTTCAGATGCTCTTGATCTCAATCATTATGCGGTTTATTACTAGAATTTTTGATTTCTGGGCTTATCAACACCCTATAGGCAGGGCTTCTTGTAGGTGTAGAATTTATATTGCTAATGCTATATCAATGCCACTAGTGGCATCTATTTTTATTCATATTATCATTTTTTATATCGCAGTTTGCCTTAATATCCATTTTCCGTTTGGTATCTATTTTTTTTTTTTGAATGTATCCTAACTATTGAACAAGCATAGGTCTAAATAGCTGGTAGCAGCGATATCCTTTGATACCGTATTTCATCCAGATGTCATTTTCAAACAGTTATTCCTGTTGACAACACGCCGTATTGTTCAGATTCTTCTATAACTAAGAAGCTTCTGTTGTTTTTTTGTACGCGTTTTTTCCCCCCAGGCGTTTGTGTATGTTTATATGAATAAAAATCTGGTGTCATACTTATCGTTCAAGCTTATTTTTTAAGGGAAAGTACTATGAAAGGATTTGGAAAAGACGACAATAATAACGTGTTGCTTAGTGATTCAGGTATATCATATCCACCAGAGTTGATTACAGTTTTCAGTAGTATAATTTTTATCAATTGCCATTAAGAGTTGGATTTTAGAAGTATATCGTCGCTTCACTTCATTTGAAGCAAGGAGACCTTTTTCTTTTCACTTCAGGCTCTTAACTTCATTTTATCCTTTATTCTATTTTTGTGAGTCGACTAAAATGGTGAGTCTCAGTTGTCGCTCCTGCTACCACAATCAAATCGTTGCGTATACTTCTTTTTTCCTTTTATTCTTCCATGCGCCCACCTTAACTCGCTGCCGATGGCATCTACCGCCAGTTCCGATCAAAAGAAGAGCTTGCTTTGGCATGCTCTTGATGAGTCGGTTCTCGGCTCAACCGCCTCTTTCTGTTCTTTCCCCTATGCTGACACCCTCTCGTTTGTACTCCACGACTTCACCCCCTCACGATCCTAAGCCAAGTTCGAAAGTTAAGCAACCTCTGTTCAGTCATTTTTCTTCCTCTACGACACACACAACCCAAGGGTCTTCCTGTCCTGTGGCGTCACATCCCATGTCCGGTGCCCCTTTCAACTCCCAAGCCGCCGTGCAGCGGCTCAAGGCCCTTGTCGGCCTGGACGACAAAAACGCCCAGGACCTCTCAACCAAGCCGGAGCGGGTGACAGACCTCACGGGGTTCTTCGAAACCCACCAGGTCACCCCTGACAGTCCCCGTGAGCTCAAGTTTATGCTCTTCAACGTCTGGACGAAGGTACGGCAGCTGCGGCATCGCGACCTCCTCGCGGGCTACGTTACGGCCGGGAAGTTCACCATCATGCAGAAAGTCGACGCCGCGATCCGGTTCGTGAACGGGGTGAAGGACGCCGAGGGGGAGATCCACCTTAACGAGCTCGAGCAGGCCTGCGGGGTCGGCGTCGAGATCGGCGAAGGGGAAGTCGTCGCGGCGGTCCAGAAGGCCCTCGCCGCGGAGGACCGGCGGGCGCTGAAGGCCACCTGGATGAAAAACCCGAATATCTTGCTCGGGAAGATGCGCCGCGTGGATGGGCTGCGGTGGGCCGAGGTCGACCACATCCGGGCCGCGCTCGAGCACCTCATACCGGAGCTTGTTCGGGATGTCAACCTCGAGATCGCAAGGGAGGAGGCCTCGGGAGAGGAAGTCGAGGGGGCCCTTACCGCCGCGATGTCGCGAAAGGAGGTGAAAACCTGCCCGCGGAGCGACAACTTTCGCGCGGTCGCGAAGAACCTGCCGTCGACCCGCCTTGGCGAGCTCGCCAAAGCGGCGGAGGGGTCGACGGTGTATTTGATCGGGTGGGCCCACCGCGTTCGTCATCAGTCCCGCATGTCTTTCGTCATCCTTCGGGACGGGACGGGGTACGTGCAGTGCGTCTTCGACGGTGCCGTCGAGCCTTTTCACCGGGAATCTTCTCTGGCCATCCGCGGCGTCATCCGCAGCGAACCGAAGGCGAAGACCGAGCTGCAGCCCCCGATTGAGATCCATGTCCAGGAGTACGCAATCATCGGCAAGTCGGACGGCTCCATCGAGACCATCATCACGGCGGAGAGCTCCGTTGACAAGCTGCTCGACCAGCGCCATATCATCCTTCGTGGGACGAACGGAAGCACCGTGATGAAGGTCCGCCACGAGCTGCTTCGCATTTTTCGAGAATTTTTCTGGTCGAAGGGCTACTATGAGGTGAACCCACCGACTATCGTGATGGCGGCGTGCGAGGGCGGTTCTACCGTTTTTGATTTGGCCTACTATGGGGAAAAGGCCTACCTCACGCAGTCTTCGCAGCTTTACCTGGAGACCGTAACCGCCTCGCTCGGCAATGTCTACTGCTGTATGCCCAGCTACCGCGCGGAGAAGTCGAAGACGAAGCGCCACCTCAGCGAGTACACCCACCTCGAGGTCGAGTACGACATCTGCACTTTCGAGGACCTCCTTTCCAACCTGGAGGAGTTGATCACGCACGTTTTTGACGCCGTCATTGCCCGCGCCGGCAACCTCATCGCGCTCCTCAACCCCTCGCAGGTGATCGACCTTGACGAGGATCTTTTCGACCCCTCGAATTACAAATACCGCCCCAAGCGGCCCTTCCGCCGGCTGCGGTACAGCGAGGCGATTGAGTTCTGCAATGCGAACGGCATCCTAAACCCCGAGACGGGGGCCCCGTTTAAGATTGGTGAGGACATCACCGACCAGCCCGAGCGCGCGATGGTGGCGAAGTTCAACGAATTTATTCTTATGACTCACTTCCCTGCGGAAATGAAGTCTTTTTACATGCAGCGCGACCCAGCAGAGCCGGCCTTGACGGAGTCCGTCGACGTCCTCGCGCCCGGGATCGGCGAGATCGTCGGGGGGTCCATGCGTATGTGGAATTATGAGGAACTAATGTCGGTCTACGAGCGGGATAAGATGGACCCCTCGGTCTGCACGTGGTATATCGATCAGCGGCGGTATGGCAGCGTCCCACATGGGGGGTTTGGCCTGGGGATGGAGCGTATGTTAACGTGGATGTTGGACTTGGATAGCGTGAAGGATGCCTGTCTCTATCCACGATATATGGGGCGTTGTAAGCCATAAGAAAAGGGTAAAAACATAATGTGCGTGTTCGAGAGAAATAAAATAGGTGGCAAAGCTAATATAAATTCTAATTGAAGCAAACAAAAAATCATTCACCGAATGCCAATTGACAGTAGCAAGGGGTATTTGTTCCTTTTGAGTACAGAACTTCTCACCAAAAAAAAGTCTTCTAGGGAGAAAAGATTTAATGCAACATTTGCAAGTTTGCATTATGATTCTTTTGCAATTATCTGTTTACAGATTCTTAACTATGTTGTATTTAAAATGAATAAATGTGGGTCAGTTTTGTATTTTCCCATTTTTTTTGAAGAACGAATTATATTCCATGATTTTTTTTACACCTAAAAATTATCATTGAACTTTTCCTAGCGAGGAAATGGAAAATGTCTGTCGAAAAACAACACACACTGAATATTATTAGTATGCACCTATAATTAAGTAATGCTATAGTTCAGGGTATAAAAATGCATATTTTTCCTTTCAAAATTTAAGCATCCTTTTTGTTATAATGGAATAATTTGAGGTGTAGTTAAATGCAAGGAATTTATTTAGTTAAAATTGTGTTTAATTTATTTAAGATTCCTTCTATTAGCACGGGAAATGCCATAGTAAAAGTACCCTTTTACATCTAATATTTCCCCTATTTTTAGAGCTTCTAATTTGTTTAAGTACGAAATCCGTTCCCTATGGCCTGTAAAAATAAATAACCAAACTAAAAGGAAAATTTAGATCGATAACAACCATTACCACATATTTTTATATTGAACATATATTCCAGTTTGTCACAAAATCAGTAGACCGACAGTATCACGATGATCAATTTTATTCTCATGCAAAATCGAATGGGTAAGACAAGACTTGCTAAATTCTACATACCCGTGAATGATGTTGATCGTGAAAAAATAAAGCGTGATGTGCATGCCACAGTGAATTCTCGTGATGTGGGGTTGTCTAACTTCCTGGTATATAAAGATATGAAGTTAGTATACCGTCGCTACGCGGGTTTATTCTTTATTTTCGGTATCGATGCCGAAGACAATGAGTTCAGCTATTTAGAATTCATTCAGTTGCTCGTTGAAGTACTAGATCTGTTCTTTGAAGATGTTTGCGAGCTTGATTTAGTGTTTAATTTTCATAAAGTTTATTTAATTCTCGATGAAATGGTTACTGGAGGTGAAATTCAGGAAGTTTCTAGACCGGTCATCTTAAAAAGACTTCAGAAGCTTGATATCTCGAGTAAATAAGACCTACACATTTTCCCCTTTTAGTGTTTGCCTTCGGTGTTGGTGTTCTCTGAAGCTTTTTATTTCTAGAGCTGTATTGCACTATAGTTGTGGCTTTTCATAATTTTCTGTTTGTATTTATTCATCGTCGCCTTGTGTTTCTCACTTTATGAAACCATTTCCCCGATTTGGATGACTTTTATTTACCATTCATCTTCTGGATTTTGACCCCTCGTGTGCACGGGAGATTTAAGCAAAAGGGCCCCTACTAACTTTCCTAATCACCCTATAGTTATTTTAATCTTTATCGATGTTTCCAGTCCCACATGCCGAATACTTCCCTAAAGTTATTTCCCTTTTGTGCCCTTCCTTCTTGAAAACGAAACATGTGTATATTATAGGGTGTCTACGATTATTTGAATACGAATTACCATCCTAGCCTAAGGAAATCAACGGTAACAAGGGGTCCAACTCGTACCTACCCCCCTC